ATTATCGTTGTTGGTAGTGGGTTTGGCGTATTCTAGTTAGGAAGATGATGATGACTATTATTGTTGTTGGTGGTGGTTTTGGTGTATTCTAGTTAGGAAGAAGATGTTGACTATTATTGTTGGTTGGTAGTGGTTTTGGTGTATTCTAGTTAGGAAGATGATGATGACTATCATTGTTGTTGGTAGTGGTTTTGGTGTATTCTAGTTAGGAAGATAATAATGACTATTATTGTTATTGTTGTTTGTAGTGGTTTGGTTTCATTTTTCTCTTTTCTTGATGCCAGAACCCTTCATCATTCGTCATCCCCAACGATTGTAGCAACGGATGTTGTCAAAATCAGCCTTGCTTGAACGGAGGAACATGTAAAGAGAAGTGTCAACATCCAAGAACAAAGTTTAACTGTAAATGTACGACTCAATATCACGGACGAGTGTGCGAAAAAAAAGTGGCATCTTGTTGGGATATTTTGAAGAGTGCACCAGAGGGACCAAGGCCTGATAAAGGAGTGTACAACATTACACTGACTAACACCAATATTACTGTGCCTGTCTATTGCTTGTTTGATCAAAAACTTGTCTGGACTCTTATCGAGTCCTTTTCACTAGAGAATTTACAGCTATATGTGGAAAAAGCATTTCACCAGGATTTTTCTAGAAACGTCGATGCTCCGGACAAATGGAAAGACTATCGTCTGTCGTTAGACATGATGAAGTACATACGATCCAAGGCCGTCATGTTCAGGGCAACTTGTGAATATCCAAACCGCCCTTCAAACCATCTTCTCACTGATTCTCTTCTTGGATATCTGAGTGACTACGACCTCATCAATGGTGGTGATGTCGAAGGAAAATGTTTCAAGTTTGCATACATCAACATCAGAGGGCAGGAATTCTTTAACATAACAACAGCTGTGTGGCACAAGTTGAATACCCATCAGATTCACCTTGACTGTCATGCTGCTCCATGTGGAAATTTGAAACTTATCGATAGTGTTGCAGAAGATGACTGCTTTGGTAAATACAATCCAATAAGGCGAGAGCTGTCAAAATGCACTGCAACACAACAGTCTACCACACAGTGGTGGTTAGGAGAACAGCAATAGGGTGACCACACAGCACATCTACTGACCTTGGGATATGGGAACTTGTTACTATGGTAACACTAACCCAGTATTCAAATACACTGCAAGATGAATTTCCGCATTTTTGTTGTTGCTAGTTTTTGATTTTTTAGTTGGAATATGGAAAGTGAACATTATACAGATATTACAGAGGTCCATGTACACGTGTAATGCACTTTTGGGGACGAAAACTAGCCTCGTTTTGATTCTTATAAGCACTATTCTTCTTACCATATTTGTCATGACTGTCTACAATTTGAGCGGTCGTGTCGTATCGGCTATCTTTACTGGTCCCACGGGTGCGAGTATATAATTAACCTATCTGATCATTTCTCTTTCTATTAAATCCATCACAGTCATTGGATGACTATGATTCTTCAACTATTAGTGAACAATGCAGGTATAAGCGCCTCTAAGAACGTCCAAAAATTGCACTTGTCAACTATGATTCCCATCAAAATATTTCAAAATCTATCCAATAAACTTTGCTTCATATTTTGATATATAATAACGAGCATCGCATTTACCAAAATTCTGAAATGAATAATGGGGGTCACCATTCTCGTTTTTCATCTATCTTGAAAAAACATCTCAAAATAGCCGCAAACTGACAATTTTCCAAGTGGAAACTGGTGCGAGTCAGGTAAAAATGGCAATTTCTCTACTCAAAAAAGAGAAAAAAGTAAAAAATGGGTTTTGAGCATGTTTCTTATTTAGTTTTCGAAAGAAAAATGCCTAAGCTTTGTTAGTTCCATGCTTTTAGTTGAATGCGCAGAAAATGTTCAGTGCAAAACAAGGGAATTACCTTAAGAAATGAAACCAGGGAGCTCGCTTACAATCTAAGAATAGGAAGGACAATCCTTACCTTTTCTATAATCGCAGTGTATGTAGAACAAAACGAAGCCAGGACTTTTTCATGTTCAAATATTTCTAACTAATATTTGTCGACTGTCTTGGTTCTTAGTCAGATACTTCGAGACATTTTAATATGTTGTACGTAAACATATACGTTTTGCTTTAGATATACTATATTTTATGCACATTTTGTCCATTTTTTAGAGATTATTAGCTTTATTATTAGTTTCATAGCGCTTGTAAATAGTTTAGTTATATTTACCTTTGTAAAGGAGGACTGCTAGACTGCTAGAGGACTCAATAAAACTATTATTATTCTTATTTATTTTTATTCATAAAGGATATGTGATATTTTTAGGACCATTTCTTATCCAAGGGTATCATCAACTAATATTTCAAACAAGCCAGAAGGGGGTTTATTTATTGATAACTCAATGACTTTACTGGAACAGATTCCACTGACTAAAAGCTTTGTTACATTAAATATCATCTCCAAAAGATTCAAGAACCTCTGCGGTGTCCAAGCATAACATATGAAATATGACTATCTTTCTGGCTCAGTATCCTAAAAATCTGCATTCTGATTGGCTGCATGACCAGGCAGCATTTTCTATTTCTGCCCGCAGTCTGGTATTGTGATGTAAGGCTTAAATTATCTAAGTGCCCACATGAAAACAACGGACTGTTAATCTGCAATAAAACAAATTGGGGGATGGCTTAAAAACTAAATGTAAAAATAATTTATTTATCGGAATAAAGCTATGCCAAATAGGGAAAAACTGTGCCCTTGGTCTTGAAAACTGAACTTGGCCTAACAGCTAGCCTCTATCCATGCAGTCATGTCAAAAAATGTTGTCATAGACCAACTCAAGCCTATGTGACTGGACCAAAAGGACTCTGGGTAGAAAATCACTGAAGCTGAGTTCATGACTGCATAAGTTCATCTGGTTAGTTATGCCTCTGGTTTTAATACAGAACCAACTTGTACACATTATTCTACTTTACATACTTTGTTATAGATACTTTTGCATTTAATTTCGTATTGGTTGGAACAATATATATTTGAGAGTTTCTTTGTTCGTGGGAGTCATGATTTTACTACTTCTTTGTTTCATCCACGATTTTGATTTTCATATCCTGCTCCGAGCTTTCGGGTTACAAACCCATCGTCAGGGAAAAACTGATTGAAATTACATTCAAAATTGCGAGACAACAACAATCACATGCGCGCGAGCTAACGAACGTCACAATCATGCGCGCGGAAATTACTTAAAACTAAGATATTCTATAGTAAACAAAACAAATAAACAAATAGACAAATAATTAAATAATTAAATAGATAAATAAACGAAAAAATTTATATAGACGATACTAGCGTTTGATCGTATTAATAAATAACACGTAACTATGTGGAACAGTCCTTCCACAGTCTCTATTGAATAGCACATTGTTCTTGGAAGCTGTTAAAATGCTTCAGTCCATTTGCGCTTAGACCAAGAAGCTTCACTAGCCAGGATCCTCGAATTATTCCATGCTATATCATGGTCACATTTATTAGCATGTTCATATTTATTTACATGCATTTATTATTTTGGATATTTCCTGAAATAAAGTTGATTTATTTATTATTACTATCATCATCATCATTATTACTGACAGCATAATGCTGTTATTATTTACAGTTGTCAAAGGGACTAGTATAGAGAAAGTTGAATCATAATAACAAGAGCGTCTGTATTTAGTCAGTGAATATAATTCATGATACTAAACAAAATCTACTAGAATGGTGTTTCATAGATTATCTTTAAAAGAGTGTCTTTAAAGGGCTTCTCTTTGGAGCATTCATAAACATAGCATACCATACAAAGCCACATATAGATCTACCTGGAAATTTCTACTGTTAGGTTTGCTGAGAAAAACCAAAAACTAAGATGGTGTCACTTGGAATTCTCAGGTAGTGGTATATAGGCATGAAAATACAAACAGATTTGAGATATCACTCCTGACACTTATGCCAAAATCCTTACAAATCATAGTATTCCTATACTAATTTCAGAGAGAGTTACAAAACTCAAGAAAAAAAGCCATGAGAGAACAAGAAACAGTCAACCGTCTTAGAAAACTAGTTAGAGGAAGAGCTAGTTATAAAACTATGAAGAGGAAGAGCTACCTGACTTAAATACACTGCTAAGTGTAATTCTTCAATTGTTTTAAATAGCTGGTTTCAAATCAACAATATATTTGCTTCCTACCTTTGGGTTCTGTGAGTAGAGTTTGTTATCCCTCTCCTTTGGCTTGGCTCTGCAAAACCTAACAAGCTAAAGTCCATTTTAATGAACTAGTGCTACCATGACAATGATCATCTCAGAGATTGTTTTGGGGTTTCATATAATTGTGCTCCAGATAAAATTTCGTTGAATTTTGCCCTATATATGATAAACGGGTAATCGTATGGTTCCTCGTAAAATTAAGGATTAATTTCACTTGTGTTTTCAGGGTTTTGAAATTGTCCTTGTCGCTTCCCGACTCGAGCAATTTCAAAACTTTGAAAACACTCGTGAAATTAAGTCTTAATTTGACTCAGCCCCATACGATTACCTATACTAATCAGGACATTTTAAATTCTTCAGGAAGACGAACGGGCATCTTAAACCCAGCAAATAGAAGAGTAAAAATCACAGGTATTCCAAAAAATTATATTTTTAAAGCTTGAAACACATACTATGGAATAGCCTTGCGTTTAAAAAACCAATAAAAGATAAGGGTGCAATTATTTTACTTTGATAATGCAGGGAGTGGTTTCCTAATTCTCATATATATATAGCTCTTGAAAATGCACATTATATCCCCTCAGACTATCGAGGCTCCTTATGATCATTAAGTAAACCATTTTTGTTATATATTCTTTTATTTAGTGATTCAGTCAATCATTCTGATTTCTAATACCAATATTCTGTGCACATTCTGTAATATTCTATTCAATCATTCCATGATTGTTTCCAGCTTTGCAGTTTTCATAGTTTGACCTTGCCTTGCCATTTGAGGGCTATGAAAAGGCACCAGAAGCTGTTCAAAAACAGGAACTGAAGAAATAGCATCACCATGAAAAAATGCAGGAAGCAATGGAGAAACATAGAAAGTAAATCACAATCATTTTGATCTGCAAAGAGTGATGTCTGTTCTTGAGGGACCGCGCCTTTAGATGGTGGCGAAGTTATTTCGTGCCGCCTAAACCAGACCTGTTCAGACCAGAGCGAAAAAAAAATCCAAAAGATCCATAACGTTAGAAAGAAAGTCACAATTTGATTCATACTCAATAAGTATAGTGTCTATATCCGTACCTATATCCTAGCTACTAAAAATATTGAATCCACTAAATTAAAGTCCCGATTTTGAGGGTATAAAGTTGACACGCTGAAAAAGTCCATGAAAATATTCATCGCGTAATATTTGGAAAACGCTCTCATATATTTTTTTCATATTGCAATATGTTGGGTGCCTTGATGAATACTATCGACTGGTGCAAGTCGCTTAGAAAGTTTAGGCCTAGTTTTTGAGAAAATAAGCGGTAAACGATTTCTATGATGTCATCATTACGTCATAATGAAAAGGCTGCTTTAAACTAATTTATCATTTTTGAAACCTTTAATCCTTTCCTGGCATTGTGTGAAAAGCGCTTGTAGATCGAGTTATTTAAGACAAAGTTGTAGCCGTTTCAATGTGGCTAGGTGTGCCAGACCTAGAGGTCCAAGGATCGAAACCTTGCTCTGCTATGTAGTTATTAGTATTTTTATATTCCTTTCTTCTTTCCGTCATGTGTTTTCGTTGTTTTTTACTCTGCTGATCAGGTTCCTTTATCTCAAATCACCATCTTTTCCCCCCTTAGGTTTGACTCTGCCTCAAAATAGAAACATTTTAATCTTCTTATCAATTTTGTCTCTTTATTTGGTTTCTAAGAAGGCAAAAGTCGTATTTCCACATGGTCTAGTGGTTAGGAGGCGGCGCTCTCATCGCCGTGGCCCGGTCTCGTTTACCGGTATGGAAATGAAAATTTTGGCATAATTTTCCCACCAAACAATAAATAGAGGTTATTACATTGCTAGTTGCGTACTACAGTAAGGAAATTTTACGATYGAAATTGCGGCCGTCTTTCGAGCCCCGCAGAGGCGCGAAAAATAGAGATTACTTCATGCAAAGCGCGCGCGTACGGGATTTTCGCACGAGCTGGTGAAGTATCTGAAATCGAACGAGTGAGCGCAGCGAACGAACAACTTGAATACACTGAAAGTATTTGAAAGCTGCTTGACAAAGCTACCCGCGATGACCGCGAAAACACGATTCGCCCCCCTCGACCAATGGTTTGCGATTGGACGAAACGCTTTTTTCACGCGTGACAAATCGTTTTGCCTCTCTGATTGGCTAAAGAAAGTCGCGAACTYGTTTTTCACACACGAAAGTTTGATAAGAAAATTTTAGTCACGGTATAAAATAAATTCAGATTCAAGACAAAAACTATCCGGCTGCAATACGCAACCAGCAATGTAACAAATTGTTTATTAAGTGTAAACGTTAACATTGAATTTGTTTATTAAACAAAACGAAAAAATGAGAAAAAGTGCATAAAAAACCATTTTTATCGAAAACAAGCAAACTTGAAAAACGCGAACTCAAACCAATGACGTGAGCCGCGTAAAGGAAAAGGAGAACATTTTCTAGCCTTTTCTCAGCTAAATAAACCTGTTGAATACTGGTTCAAAGATGTGTATTATTGCTCTGTATGATCTGGTTATTGCACTCGAAAATGGTCGTGATTCATGGGGAATGTGTGTGCCGTATAATAAAAATCAAATAATGCATAATACTTTTTAGTATGTGGTTGAAGGTCTTACCCTTTAACAACCGATCTCATGTCTTTTTACCTACAGATGGCTGCATCTGTATATTTGACCATCCTCTTGAATAACCCTCGTTCCCAAGCACTATAACTTATCTATATTTCTATATCTTCATGTATTTCATAAGTGCTACGCGGTCCACATATTCTCATCTTTGCATCCTCTTGAGTGATATCGATAATATATTTATACAATATCCAACCCTTGAAGTAGAGTAATGTGAAAATAGCATAACTAACATGAGCAGCTAACGAGRATGAGGGGGATTAGCTCRRATGGTAGAGCGCTCGCTTAGCATGCGAGAGGTACCGGGATCGATACCCGGATTCTCCAAGTTATGTTTTTTGCTGTAGCTGTTCTTCTCTTTCAATGTCTAATTGCTTTTTTGAACTTATCTAGGTTATTGATCTACCAACATCATTCCCTGTGCCACTCTCACGCCGAGGCAAGAAAACCCTGACCCTGGTCAAAAAAGGGTTTTTACTGGCTAACTTCATCCTGAATTTTGGTTTGGGGTGTTCCTGGGCAGGACACCAAAGATATCCTAGCCTTTGAGCATACTTAAGCCGGACACTTAATTTGAGGAGGTATAAAATTTATAGAAGGAAAATTGCCTTTGTTTAAAACAAATTCCACTCGACGATGCACTGTTAAACACTCTGGTTCATTTGAATAGTCCGCCATGTTTAATATAAGCTAATTTACATGGGGCTGCATACTTCCAGTCATTTCTTCAGCGGTATTTTCAAAACACTCGAATTTTCCGGGTGCTTTTTGTCGCGTGACCGGCCAACGTCAGGGTCTTCTCTTCTCAATTTGAGAGGGCCCTGGGGAAGAGGTTACTTAAACAAACAGATTTGATGAGAAGCCTTGACCTAGTTCAGCAACCTACACTTTAATCTCTTAATATCCCTGACCCTAAACCTTGACTGTAAACCAAACTTGTGCTAGGATTTCTAACCCTAAAGTTAGGCTATGGTTTCCAACCCCAACAAATGSTATGGTTTCTAGCCCTAATTTGGGCTAGGGTTTCTAGTGGTGATGCACTAAAAAATATCAACTGTTGAGAACCCCCACCTTCACTTCACAATAGTTAACGTCACTCCCAGAAATCGCGCTTACAAGGCACGAGTTCACCCTGTAGTCAGGGTTTAGTTAATTWAAARAAAAAATGATCCCAAGAACTGATAAGGTAAAAAATATTGGAAAGAGAGTTTTGACAGTAATAATAGAGATAAAAAGCTATAGAATTAGAGCAAATTTAAGCTTTACGTTACACGGCTATTTCATAAACATGCGACCTTGGTGCTCTCGGAAGTTATCGACTGACTAKGTTTGAAATACTTCAAGACGAGTTCGCACTATATGAATGTATTGTAGCTGAAACTGCATGCAGGTAAGTCGACAAGCTTTTATCCACGCTTTCCCAAATAAATTGCCCTACTTCACTATGACGTCACATCAAAACAATATTCAACAATCTATTGTTTAAACGCAAAGGATCATGGTCGTCGGACGGGGTCAARTCAACGCAAACTAACCGAAAATYGTTCTAAATTCCGCACATTCCACGAAGAGAAGTAGAATAGCYAGCAWACGCTCAGAATATTTTTTAGTACATATTAACACATATTATATCTGAAAACCAGGCCATTTTAGATTGAACTGTTTCGCTAGCAGCAAATTTAGTTGAATTTTTTATTGGATTTGGCGATTCTATCCCCGACATAAAGAAGCAGTGACGTCATAGTGAATTAGGTCAATTACGGCATATTCTAAATCCCCAGATCCCCATACATTCTCTTATATATGTAGTGAGCTTGGGTTGCCCGTGGTAAGTTAGAAAAATAGTTATTTACTTGTATTTAGAGAACTAAATAAACATTAACCAAGTAAATAGTTCATTTAGATTCAGTATACTACGGAAATTCAAGGACAATGTCCGAACTTTTTGGTGACTGTAACACAATCTAAAACGATTTATACCCTGTGACACCACAGGAAACCCAACTTTTCAAAACCCCGCGCATGCTCCCTTGTCTTTATGCGTATTGAGACGATGGAGCATGCGCGGCTATTTGGACCGAAAACATTTATTTTTAATTCTAGACATTCAAATGTGAAAATAAAACTCAAGACATGGACAAAATAAGTTCTCTTCAATCTCTGTCGGATTATGGTCTTGGAGACAGCGATATTGAAGATTCAGACAACGAAAATGAGGAGGAATCTTTGACTAACGTGAGGGGAAGTTTTGACGAACCTCGTGTACCACGAGTTGTCAGTGCAAGTGAGTAATTATAATATTTAGGTACTGCCTAAAACAGGAGCTCCARCTACAATCTTTGTTGTGACCTATTGTTTTAGCTTGTACGAAGTTCAACAATAACTTACTAGTCGTTGCAATATGCAAGTGGAATGCTGCGAGTGCCATACAATGATGTAAAGGATGATTACTAGTGTTAAAATGTCTACTTCAAACTGTCTTATAGATTATATCTAATCGCTATTTTAGTGCAGTAAGATAAGTTACGTCCCATTGGCCTTAAATAAACTCAAATGCCTCCTATATAACATGATCTGTACTATTATCAAACATGGAATGGCATCAGCATATGATCCTTGCTTTGCATTCAAACCACTCACTGCAYTCTTGCTTCCATTTCAGTTTAGATCATATGCTGATGGCATTCCATGTCCAAGCGTACATACCATACTAATACTAAATGTGGAATCAATGCTAAAAGTTTTGAGTTAAGGGGTGATCAGGGCACTTTAAGATTAAGATTATTCCAAAAATGTTTTAGGTTCAAGACTTGTTTCATATGGTGAGGAAGAAGATGAAGATGCCACAAAGATCCATGATGTTGAAAAATTGGTATGTCTGTTATTAGTATTTATAATAAATGAGTTTAATRTTTACCAAGCATTTGAGTTTTTTATTTTTTATGTCATACATGTATTTTACTGATAAAATTGTACGTTTTTAAGGTTGTTGAAGATTCAAAGTTACCTGCAWTAGTTCTAGGTAAAATTTGAGGCTAAAATTGATTATTTTATGCAATTTTGTCAACCTATTTACAGTGCAACTTCATGAACAATGGCCATCTTAACAAATTTTAGATCAAATTCACAAATCATATTTTTGAATTTGAGTAACAGGATGGTGAGGATTTCCCAAGTTTAAAGTGCTATTACGACGAAAATCGCTCAAACTTGGATTCAGCTGAAACTTCCTAAGAATACTCTTTGAAGGTTCAATAATCACTGTATGAAGTGTTTTCTCGATATTCAGGACGAAAATATGATATTTTTACRATTATTTTTTGGAGTCTGTGACGTCATACACTCAATACGAACATCGCTCCATACATTTCTTTGTAGTTTATGATCAAAATATCAGTAGTAAAGGGAGAAAGAAATACCCAAACACTCCAAAATATAAATTATAGTCACAAGTGATGTGAAATAAGCACATTAGCCACCCTTTGGGCTTCATAGGAATAAAATAAATTAAGGATTTATATACAAAGAAATATATGTAGCAATGTTTGATGTTGAGTGTATGATGTCACAGACTCCAAAAAATAAGCGATAAAATATCATAATTTCATCCTGAATATCGAGAAAACACTTCATACAGTGATTATTGGACCTTTAAAGAGTATTTTTAGGAAGTTTCAGCTGAATCCAAGTTTGAGCGATTTTCGTCGTAGTAGCACTTTAAACTGTTTCTTGTACACTCAAATTACCTGCTAGCAGAGTCTCTCTTCTCTTTCTCTACCTTCTTTCAGGTAGGGAGGAAGGAGACTCTGCCGATGTAGAGTGTTTCCTTTGATACACTGCCATCCACRATCGTAGATGAACAAAACCAGTTTTAAAACCAGTTTTTAACCAATTACGTGTAGTGYGCATGAGCAAATGTAACACACCRTGGCACCAAACATTGTTTGACGAGATTGGCTGTCAAAATCATGACAGCGTTGCTAAGTTACGCCATGCAGGCRCGACAGAAATAACGTCTTATGTYGGCAGAGTCTATTTTTCTCTCTCAACCAAAACAAAAGGAAAATAGGCTCTGCTAGCAGGGAAACACTCAGACACACACTTGTATAAAGTAAAATGTACTTTTAAGGAAAAAAATATGAAAATTTGATTCTCTTGTTTAAATCCTCAATCTTAATTGGCTGATTTGTAYGAAAAGTTGTCTGGAAAGGCCTTGGTTGGTGTAGTCACACAGTAAAAGTTGCAATTCTTTTTTATGAAATGTAGAYAATGAAGAAATTATGACCCAAGATACTGAAAATAAGGTTAGTTTATAAAATTACCTGTATAATCATAATCAAAATATTAAATTTGGATTAGGATTTTACAATAATTATTCAAATGTTTTAAGTTTAATGATTGTTCTGTTTTTCAATCAGGAAGGAAATGATAAAGATGCAAATGAAAATAATGGTGAGCTTTAACCAGAAGAACTAATGTAAYGTTATTACTACTTAAGGTAATTAATGGGATTGTTTCTTTTTCTGTTATTAGTGGAGAAGGAAAGACAGATGACTGATGTAAGATTCAGTCATCCAAATGTTGTGCTACCTCCTGAACCAACTGGACGATGTTCTAATAGTGTACAGGTACAATACTTTCTAGAATGTGTGATATTTATGTGTCRGGTTCATTTGAGGTTATTTGGTTCATCAGTTTTCATCCATTAACACAAATTAACAAGTGAGCTGAAAATGTCGGAATCTGGAATGGTAAATTATCTAGAAAAAAATACACAGAATACTAAAACGTAAAAACATGGAATTGCTAACTATCAATCACATGACTTTGTGAAGCTGACCGGGGGGAAACAAGTGGTTGACTGAGGGGCAACTAGCAGACTATTTCTATGACATAAAACCAGAAAACAAGAGATTAAAACAACCTCCACAATTCTACAAACCATTAAAAATGCAGCTATTACCAGAAGTGACGTCTATTGATAACAACCTACTGTATAATATTYGAAAACTTACACTTTTACAACCATTACGATATGACATAATAGAAATAGAAATTTCTTTTGGTTGAGAGGAGTGGTGTTTCAGCGTAATAATAACATTATTATTAGCAATCCACCAGCTGGCTCTTCTATGATATTCTATTTCAACTTGACCACAATTACAGTACAAAATTATAATGAATTATGATGGGTTGTTTCTTCAATATTAAATTAGATACAGACACAAGGTCAAACTTCGACTTCACATGAGCCAAACTTAATGACATYAAAGAAGACCAGCACGTTGTTATCCATTGTTTCAATTAGGTTTGGCTCATGAGAAGTTTGACATTTTATCTGAGTCTAAGATAATTAAGTATACAGGTTGAATTTTCTTTGAATAAATATTTTTTTTGTTTGACAAACAATTTTCTCTTTTGTTGGCAGAAAAGAATAGTGGACTCTTTAGAAAACAAAAAAAGGAATGGAATAGACTTCAATGCAAAGATACAGAAAATGAAAGATTTTAGGAATCCAAGGTATCTTTATTGAAAAGCTAATTTATATAATTTAAGTGCTGTTATGGATTATTCAAAACTGAATATTAAAACATGTATGAATCCAGAACAATCAGGTTTTACATCCTGTATTACTGTTTATAAGGGAATTATTACAAATCTCATGTTCTGATTATTTAGGAGCATGTGCTTTATGAGAGCACAGAGCATGCACTCACACTTTCAGTTGAGTCATTCCTATCTAAAATAATTTTAATTTGTATTTTATATATGCAGGCCCATTATCAACTTAACCCTATAATTTATATATTTTCCATCATTTTTGTATTTGTTTTGCCTCCTGGCAAGATGGCCGCCATATCATTGAATAAGCTTTGAAGATTAGCCTTGATGTTAATGGACCTTTTGGGAGAGATTATTGTAAGGAAACTATAAAGACATTGATTTGCATTTCCTGCTATTTTTTTTTTGCAGTATTTATGAAAAACTGGTATCATTTCTCAACATACAAGAAAATGGGACAAATTACCCTCCAGTGAGTAGACACAACAACTTTGTATGTTTGATTCAACTCTTTTTAAAAATGAAAATTACAAAAGAAAATATAGATCTTTGTAATTTCACCATTTCAGTGCTTTAAGTAATATTTTTATGAGATGCAGATATAGCCAAGTGAACTTAAACAAATRTTTTTCAGTTGTATTTTATAGTTGAGCRYGAGCTAGTGTGTTTTGAATATAGCGTGATYGTGACGTGATTGTATYGTGAYRTGATTGTATTGTGACATGATTGTATTGTGACGTGATTGTATTGTGACATGATTGTATCGTGACATGAWTGTATCGTAAAGTGATTGTATCGTGACATGATTGTATCGTGAAGTGATTGTATTGTGACATGATTGTATCGTGAAGCGATTGTATCGTGACATGATTGTATCGTGAAGTGATTGTATCGTGACATGATTGTAT